CATTACCCACTGTTACACTAGACTCGGAGGTAAATACATGACTCATGGATTAAATTGATAACAACTTGTGTTGAGGTAACAATTAAACTCTCGAGACGCAATGTAGAACATGGGGTTTACTTATCCACTGTGTATGGGTTTGGATTTCCCAGCATGAGCACCAAAACCAGCTGACAGGCTCTGTTGCAAACTCTGTCCCAGCGGTCGTCCAATAGGCGTCGTCCCGGCGTCCTCTGGCAACTGGTCGACCAGTCGAGGTGCAGCTCAGAGTAGGACGGACGGAGGAATCTAACTGCGGTACGTAGTGCAGTCGTTTCTCACAGGGGTCTACTAGTCGTTTCTCCGGCTGACTAGTAGAAAGTCTCTATGCACAGACTTGCGGGTCCTCGCTAGTCACTCTTTTACACGGGAAGAAAACTGGTTTGTTCCCGGTCCAGCACTGCTTCTGAATAAACTATTCAGGTTGTCGACGAGCGTCCAATTGTAGGCTGTGGTTGATCAAGGGGAGCATTCACGTTGGTCGTTGCAGAATTCTTGGCCTCGCACTTAGAACAAAGTCCAAGTCCCAGAGCAGACAACACCGGTTGTCACGTGATTGTCCCTGAGATTACGCAAAAATGGCCGAGGAGAACAAAGACCTGAGCTTGTGCCAGTGTTTTAACCAAACACAGATGTGCTATTGGTTTAGAGTTTAGTGGAAATTGGAGACCTACGTGGGGTTACCACACCCTGCAAGTCCCTGATTGGTTGACAAAGGTGAGAGATGAGTCAATGACCCCTAACACCTAGGACAGCAATCCAGATGTCCCTAGGGATGACCATTGGTCATGATGGCCAGGCATAGCTAAGTGCATCCCCATTTGGGAGCTGCTCCTTATCAGAAAGAAAACACCTTAAATCAGACTGCATGAATAGCTTCTCTGTGGCTGCACCACAGAGATGAAGAGAGAGAGATGGCGCCTCATTTAGGAAAGCACAGCAACGCTTAATTCTGTCTTATTAACAAGCATTGCTGCTACATAGTTCAAGTAGGTAGCTGCGTCAGCATGTGTAGGCTGCAAAGGAACAGGTAAAAGTTTTTTTATATACTGAAAAGAAAGGAAACACAACGTTTTGGCTGTGGAGGTTTCTTCAGGTGTGAGAAAGACAGGGTAGTTGGCAAAGATTAAATAGCACAGGAGAACAAAAGCTGGAAAAGTGGAGGGAGAGAGGAGAGGCAGAGAGGTCACTCAGGAAGTGCAAAGTGGAGAAGGGTGAAGAAAGGTGTGAAGTCAAAACCTACATGAGAATAGAGGAGATTAAACGAAAATAAGTCTTTCATTGAGAGAATGGGGAAGATGTGAACCTAGCTTCAGGATGAGTTTAGTTTTTGTTGTCTTTCTGCTGTGGGAGTTGAGAAACCCTTCTTTGAGAACAGACAGAGGGATCAGTGTGATCATAGCTATCTGGGGTGAAATGAGAAACTATGGGCTTGGAGAAATCTTTAATCTTCACAGCCCTAACATGTTCTCTGAAGCAGTCTCCTAGTCTCCTTCTAGGTTCCCCAACATAGATAGCTGTTGAGATAGCAGTAGATAAGCAATTATTGCAAGAGATACATTAATGAGGTTGCTGGAGGTACAGGATGCCTTCTGGGTGATCTGGAATTGCCCTGAGGGGCCCCGAATGAGCGTGGTGTTAGATATATATATTTACAACTCATTATGGAAGAATTGTATTTTTTTAATCAAATCACAGAATCCTGCCAAAACAGCGAACGTCAGTATGAAGAATCACATCAACCATAATTACTTTCATCTCCAGGCATCATGAACAAAAAATTCAACCTCCCTTGATGGGAGCATTCAGCACTTTGTTCACTTCACTTGCCATTTTCCAGAAATAAGAAATTGTAAGAATTAATATGTATTACCTACCAAGTCCTACATTTTGCCTACTGAGCTCTGAGTTGCATAATTGATCTAATTGTTTCATTAACAGTATGATTGTAATACCTCCAACTAGGAACTGTGACAACTATCTTTAATGCTAAGATTTTGAAGAATCAACTGTGCATGACCTCAAAAATATATTTGTACCTAAATGATAAAATAATAATACGTTTTGAATTGACTACTCAGGTTAGAACAAAGCTAAGAAAAAGATTAAAAGAAAGGGTGAGACCAAGGTGTGTTCAGGGATGAAACCAGAAACTACTTTTCTGTCTGGGCTTGCCTTATTTGTCACACATTGTGATTAAATAAAGATTTAAAGGTTATGGTGCAAATCATAAACTGGCTTCCAGCTCAGGACTTCAGCCTTGTATCTCGTGACACATTGACGCCACAGCTGGGAATGTTTCAACCTCCAGATGAGTATAAATGATCTGTGTGGAACAGCTGGACTACATCTCGCTCCTCAGGTACATCAGAGACAGGTGAGTATGTACTGGACACATTATTATAACCTGCTACTGTAAAACTGATCACATATGAACCTACTGGAGCAACATTTCTGAGATTGTCTATGACTGTACTACTATACTCTGTATGTAATTTCTATAGTTCTAGGTCTTTAACTTACTGATGAATCCTCTTGGAAATTAAAAGCAATAATGTTCAGGTAAAAGTTGGGTGTTAAATACTGTCTGGTTCAAGATCATTTTTCCAATGTGCAATAATTCATGTTAGATATCTTAGTGGAATATATTAAAAATATTGCACAGGGTTTTAGGGAAACTGATTCAGAAGTGACATTCTAATGTGTCTTTAAATGTAATTCACAGTAACAATGTAAATATACCAAATATAAATTTAAATAAATGCAATTATTAAATACTTCTGAAATTGCAAGATGGCATTTCTTTTGTTGTCAAGCAATATTTTTTTAAATATTTATAATGAGAAAATGATCTTTTTAAAAACTGACACAGAGAACTAGGGAGTAAATTTCAGAAATGAATGCATCTGGTGATTGAAGTTACTGGTTTATCGTTAATATCATT